CCGATCAATACACTAACAACAAAAGTTCTTTAGATACCTGCTTGATCGGTAAACAGTATCTGAATCTTACAATAATTTTGAATCAAAAGTCCACTACAACTTGGCTGACTTCCATGACATCATCATTTATTCTTCTTCAAGTGCCATCTCTGCGGCGGAGGTCGGCAAACATCATAGCTATTTGAACTTTTGAGACGGCTGCTCTGAAAAGTTCATTTGATGTACATCCGTACCACTCTCTCAGGTTGCGCAGCCATGACATTCTACGCCTCCTTACACTTCCTCCCTCCTCTCCGTAAGCCTTCATCACAGTCTGCACTATTTAAGCAATCGGATTTAGGAAGTGGATTTTCAGGCATCATTTCATTATTGTTTATCACTTCGTGATACCATTTCACATTTTCCATTTCACTCCATTCTTCATCATAATTTTTTTGAAATAAAACGCGCACGTCTATAATTTTTAACGCATTCATTTTGACTTCAAGCGTAAGTTTACTTGGGTTTATATTCCACACTTTTTTCCCTGGTCTCATGACACTTAAACTTCAATTACTTGGGAAACTGTAGTTTTGTTAGCCACTAACAGTTACTGACTTTTGTTTCTTGATCAAAATTAATTTTTTGAGTTGTGAACTTTTTAAAGAAAGATTTGTTGGGTCTTTAACAGTTTTTAGCTTCTGACTTCCAATCTTGATTAGTCCAGTCTTTTCGTAAAAGTTTGACTATCCCATGCTTACTAAACTCTAAACGATACTCTTCAAGTAACCGGTAACAGAAAACACAAGCTCCACTGTTGTGATTGAAGTTTTAGTCCTGTGTAGCTAAGCAATGCACCTTGTTAATACAATACTATCCTTGTTTTGGCCTGGACACCCATCAGCTACCAGCCTTAAGGTGTCTTTTCCTTTAAAGTAACGAGATTTAGATCTGCTCTCAAGATACTATTTAGAAGGGATGTATACATAATTATCATAAATACATAATTATCATTCTAAACTTAAAATTATAAGAAATAAATTTATTAATTCATTGTGTATAATTTTTAGCAAGGATCTCTGCATAGAACTTGTGAGTCGAAGCAGCTGGGACAATAATAACGCGACCTACTACTACTACTACTACTACTACTACTACTACTACTACTACTATCGGTTTACAGCGTTCTCCGACGCCTTCAGATTCCTAACCGTCATTCTTCTCTATTCAACCATAAGCCTGGAGGGATTTCTCTTTCCTCTAGTTCTTTTTCAATTCCCTCTCTCCAGCTTCTTCTCGGTCTTCCTCTTTTCCTTCTCCCTTGTGGTGTCCACGTCAAAATCTGTTTTGGAATCCTGTCATCTAAAATTCTCTGTACATGGCCGTACCATATTAACTATTTTGTTTTTCAATATAAGGTTGAATGTTCGAATAAATGAACTTTGATGGTACACAAGGCAAATATCGACCACAGTAGTTAATCAAATCTTGCCCAAGTACTTTCGATCACAAGATCATCCTCAGGGGCAATTCGTCAGTTGTGGCCTATCCAGCAGTAATAGAATGTTATAAATGTAAATTGGAACATAACAAATACACTAAACAAAGACAAACAAACACTTTAAAATTTAAGAAATGGAGAAGCTACATTTTATATAGAAGCCTATCATTCTGTCTCCGGCTTCTATATAAAATGTAGCTTCTTCATTTCTTAAATTTTAAAGTGTTTGTTTGTCTTTGTTTAGTGTATTTGTTATGTCCCAATTTACATTTATAACATTCTATTACTGCTGGATAGGCCACAACTGACGAAATGCCCCTGAGGATGATCTTGTGATCGAAAGTACTTGGGCAAGATTTGATTAACTACTGTGTTCGATATATTTTGTTTTTATGTCATCAACTATTGTATGCTTGACTCCCATCATTTCTCGTATTCTCTCATTTGGTATCCGATCTCTTCTTGATTTGCCTGCTGCTCTTCTCCAAAAGTCAATTTCTGTTGCTAGTAACAGTTTCTCTGTTCTTTGTTTCATTGGCCAAACTTCACTACCATATGTAATTACACTTTTAAGTATGGTGTTGTATATGAGTTGTTTGTTCGCTTTAGATATTGTTTGGTCCCACAGAATGCCGTTCATCATGGATATGGCTTTTCTACCCTGTATGTTTCTGTCTTTTATAGCAGCATCGAGTGTTCCATCTTGAGTTATCTTTATACCCAAGTACTTGTATTCATCACAGTTTCTAATTTCTACCCCATCGTCTAATATAATGGACTGTTTTGTCCCTCCACTACACATGGCTTCAGTTTTCTTAATGTTGACTTCGAGACTCCATTTGTTATATTCTTCTATTAGCTTCCGAGTCATGTAACTCAAGTCGTCATGATCCTGGGCAATCAGTATTTGGTCATCAGCGAAATATAAGGTGTACAGTGTAGTCTCGTCATTGAGAGGGATTCTCACGCGACCTTATTTGGGCAATTTGCTTAGTACAATATTGGCATCGTAACATACCACTTTTATTTTTTTCCATGGCCGAAACTTGTTCTGGGTAATGCATATTGTTTGCAATTTTTTGTACTTGAATAGCCTTGTTATTGTCGATAAGGTCCATTACTATGCTCTCACGAAATTGCAAAAAAGAAGTTTTCTTATTCGATACTCTTGTAGGTGTAAAATCTGTTCCAAATGCATATGTTTAATAAATGGAAAAACAATTATCTGTACCACCGAAGTGTTTTTCTTGGTGTTAAGTGATATGACACCTGGTCTGTTCGATCTATCCCAGACATGTGCTTATTGCAGTCAAACACGCAATCGGGTTTAATTTTTGTAGCATTTGGTTTACAAACAAGCTCAGTCAGTTCTGACTTCTCGTAGAGTTCCAACAACGTGTGATTTTTCCTTAAATATAGTTTTCGCCAATTCTAAGCTGTTGTAGAAAATATCCATATATAAAACATGAACTTTTCCGAAATAATCCTTCGTCAAAACTTTGATAATATCCGCCGTTTTCAAGGTACCTCTTCCTGTATATACAATATAACTGATATGAAGTTGAATGCTCGAATAAATGAATTTTGAAAATTAAGGCAATTATATCGAGCACAAGTTTAATCAAATCTTGCCCAAGCCCTTTCGCTTAATATAGCATCTTCAGGGGCATTTTGTCAAATATGGGCTATGCAGCAAGCGTAGAATGTAATAAACATAGATGGTAACATAAAATTGTATAAACACTACACTAGAACAAGTACAAACAGTTTAAAATTAATAAAAAAGTTCTACGCTACATTCTATGGCGGTAACAGGAGAGAGAATGTTCCACATTTGTATTAGTTAATACAGACTTACACTTAGATCAAATCTAAATAATGAAGACTGGATTATTTGTTCTCAACTTTCTCAAATTTTACGGCCTTTTAAAAGAATAACAAGTACAATGAGTGACCGAAAATACATAAAGGGTAGTTCAGTGATTGTTATTATGTACATTATGTACATTTTGTACAGTTATGGATTCACGATTTAAAGTGCAGGATTTTTTGATAGAAATGAAGCTAAAAAAACAAAAGAAGAGTTAAGAAGCTGGTTACTTCTATAATTAAAGAACAAGAAGAATGTACTATTAAAAATAAACCAGTAAAAGAAAAAGAAACCGATATAGATGACTTAAGTCCATGGTGTATTTTGATCAATTAATTGGACGTGACTCATCTAAACGTACACCTATATCGAGTCCATTACAATGATGAAAAAACCATCGCCATGTATATCTTAACTTAACCACTATATTTATAAAATATTGTAAATGTGAACACATGTTCAAAATCTGGTTTAATTTTAAATAAAAGAAGAACACGGTTAACAAGAAGTAAAGGAGAAAAACTTATGTTTTTATATGTCAATTTAGACGATTCGCGATTTAATAACAACGTGTAATGTAAATGTGAGTATGATTTACTATTTGTATTGTTTAGTTTATTTTTCAAGTTATCATAAATATATCTTTCATTAGTTTCTTTCACTTCAATAAATATACACATAATCGAAAATAGCCATTATTTTTGTTTATGTAGGTATTCTCTTACTTGAAACTACTGTTAAACAATCATAGTTACTTGTTTACGAAAATCGGTTCAGTTCTGTTAACGAGAAAAACGTCAACAAACCACCTCTACCCGTTACAACTATCACTACTTTGATTCGATGCTTTGACGAGGCGAGACGAGACGTTGCCAAATAATTTTGTATGAAGCTTTTTTATTGTTGCGTCATATACAGTTTATTATTTTTGGAAAAAACGGTACAATGTGACTTTAACATAAGCTTATTTTAATGTTTAGATTTTTAATTCGGAATATATAAATTAAAATACGAAACATTAATAAATTTTATTTATATAAAACGATTTCCGAAGTGGAAATCAAAATGTTATATTACACTTATTTTAAAGTAAAATTGTGGCACATTCCCAATAAAAACGGTAAGCTGCCATTTAAATCCATTTCGCCCAAATTTAATTATCTTAGAACATTATTCAAATGCTAAAAAGACAAAAGGTCAAATAAAACAGTGTATTATGGAAGTGGTAGTCAGTGTATAATGGAAAACTCAGTATAGTGGTAATCAGGTGCAAAAGTTTTAAGCGGTTTGTCTCGACTATAATTGCTATCGAAACTTACATTATTTCTTCTTTTTTAACTTACAAAACTGTCTCCAATTAATTTTTTTTAAATTAATATTTTCAGATAGAACAGACGAAAATATTAAAATTATACTACCAATTGGTATTAATATATGAGAGACTTGAGTAATCATAAAATAATCTAAATATCTTTTTAAAAACCAATAAACAAATTGACTGATTGCCGATTGAATAAATGACTTGTAAAAGGAAGGAATTGTCCAGATTCTAAACATTAATAACTGAAAAAAGTAAAATTATAATGAAATAAAACTTTCGTTATAAAACAAATTAATAGATCCATTATTTAATTAAATATATCAATTCTGTTACAGAACTCCATAAACTTTTTTAATTTCATCTGATATTTTCTCTGCCATCATTAACACAGGTCCATATAGATGTCCCGCTACTTGACGTGGTATAGAACCTTCTCCCACAACCCTCAAATTATCCATTCCATGAACCACCAAAGTAGCATTAACAACAGAATTTTTGCAGGAGGGACCCATTCTTGTAGTTCCAGTAGGGTGAAAATAGCTCATTGTCAACTGTCTAATTGCGCAATACCAATAATCATCCGAGTTAAATTCATGCGATAGACATTCTGGAACTTGGAAGGAAATAAATGAATCGATATTGCCAAATTGTTTTCCCGTAAAAAATTGTATAGCATACCTTATGCCTTTTAACATAGTATCTATATCTGTATTGTTTTCGTCTGTTAGAAATCCTAAATCAATTATAGGGTAATCTAGCGAACTGTTTGATTTTAAGCGAACAGATCCTGATGATTTTGGGTGTGCTAAATTTATCATCACATGAATACTTGCTGCCATATTTAGTTTGTTGTAAGCATCGGTATTATTGTTATTGAAATTAAACAATGTTTGTACATCACCTCCTCTTGGTGGTGCAAAAGCTATAAATTCTATATCAGGAACAGTACTACTATCGTTATTGACATTTGCAAACACTATATTCTCAGCTCCAAAGCATCTAGTTAGAGGTGTATTTGCACTCTGATACTCATGAACCTGTTCCGGTAAAGAAACTTCTGGCTGAGATAGTTTTGTGGTAAATAATAATCCTACAAATACTGGGTGATCTACTAAGTGCTTTCCTACAGGTAAATCTTTTATTACTGGTATACCTAGTTTTGTTAAATGTTTCTCGGGACCAATGCCAGATAACATTAAAAGTTGAGCAGAATTAACGGCTCCTGCAGTAACTAATACTTCTGTCGACGCTTTAGCGAGATATATTTTTCCATTTTTAATAAATTCGACGCCAATAGCTTTTGTTCCATTGATTAGAACTTTTGTAGCAAATGAATTAAGAGATACTGTAAGGTTAGCTCTAGTTTCTTCAATAGGTGTAACATATGCTGATCCAGTTGACGCTCTTCTGTTAAATTTTATAGTGGACTGCAATTTACCTGCACCAATCTGCTCTTTACCATTATAGTCAAGTATATTTAGGCCCATATCCAAAGTAGCAGCTTGGAAAAACGTGTTATTGATTACAGAAGAAGGGCCAGTATGATTCACATGAACTGGTCCGGTAGTTCCGTGGTATGTTAGATCTGGAGTAGAAAAATCCGCCATTTCGGATTTTTTGAAATAAGGTAAGCATTCCTCGTAGGACCAATTTGGATTTCCAAGCTTAACCCATTGGTTGTAATCATCATGATTACCACGGACATAAAGCATAGCGTTGATCAAACTGGTTCCACCAAGACCTTTTCCTCTGGGAAAGTTACATATATGGTCTCTCATGCCTAAAATTAAAAAAAAAATTATTAGTTACAAAACCAATTTTTTACACTGTTTTTACGTACATACTGTAAGCTTTTCTGTAGTGTTTAAATCGTTATATAATATTATGTAAAAGAACTACACAAAATAATAAATTAGTTAAATATTCTTATGACTGCAAGAAAATAGGTATATTTTTGGTATATCATGTGATTCTGAACATATCTTGTCTTATTTCATAATTGGGGATTTTCTTAATTTTTTTTAGATATTTCCACCTAAACATTGCTTATCAAACTCTATAGAGAACAATATTTTAAAACAAATATAATCAGTAGTACTCAATTTGTTTGTGAGTTGATGTCTACTTACATTATTTTATTAATTACCCAAGAGCTCAGTACATGGGACAAATATTATGGATTTTGAAAACCATCTAAACCATTGGTCGGAAACTTTTTTTTATATAAGGGCTACAAAATTGTTGTGATAATAATAGTGAGGACCACATTTCATCTAATAAACACAATGTTTCAGATAAATCTAACTTTTGAATTTTAAACATATTTATTGTCACTTTTATTTTAATGTATTTTTTTAAATTAATTAGTGGCTTTCGATAACTTGATCCATTCAGCCACGATAATGTATTTGACTACTTGAATGTGTTATTGATGTATTGATCAATAACAGATTCAAGTTCACTGCCAGAATCAGTAGACTGACAAGAAACCATACTTTCATTCAATCCATTCAAGACCCTAACCAACTTAAAATAAGTATTTAGAACCAACAAGGGATTACATAATATAGGGATACTTTTCACGTTTAAGGTGCCTTTAATAACAACTTTATTACAACACAAAACAGGCAACGGCTAGGAGGTAAATCTGTATCATAAGGATAGGCAGAGGAAACAAGGCTAGATTTCTTTTAGTCCTTTTTAAATATTCCCAAAAAAAAATGGTTAAGCCTAATATTATGACGAGAGATATATCAAATAGAAGACTGATACTGAGCAAGACGTATTTGTTCTTTTATCAGATTTTCCAATAGATACTTAATAGCAGCATGACTATATATATGCACTCGAACATCCAATGATTTATATCGTCAGTGTTACCATTACAATCGCAAAGTTCTGTTTCACTTAAATTAAATCTATGAAGATAGGTTTTCACAGTAGCATGATTAACAAGGCATCTAACAATTATTGAATATACTCTTCTATTGGGATGACTTCTTGCAGCAAAAGGTCCAGTAGGTAAAACAGGGTGAATTTTTGTATAAAGGTTGTTATTTCTGTTAAAAAAAGCATTCCATTCAATTTCCAAGTTTTCTTTTAATTCTTGTTTACACAGCGAGACTAAATTACTTCTATTGAGCCAACTAATTTCTAATCCGTTTGAAGCCGCTTGTTTAGCAAAATAATCTGCTTTAGAGTTATCAGAGATACCAGCATGTCCTTTTACCCAAATGAAAAATACCGAATTATTTCTTTTAAGTAGCTTTAGTGAATTTTCTAAAATTTTGACGATAATACTGTTTTTGTATAAATGCTTATGTGAGTTATCTAAAACAGATAACGCAGATTTTGAATCCGACAGGATTACTATTGGTTGATTACATTTTTTCTAAATATCCATTCCAGAGCTAGTTATATTGCAAACAGTTCTGAAGAATAAATGAAACATTGTTGGTTTAATTTAAACATCATACGTTCTTGATACTCCACAAATTTACATGGATACAACCTACTAGAAATCTGCGCTCGATAATCGACTATGTTTCAAACTTCCCAGTTGAAAACAACTGACGTAAGGGTATACCGTGGATCAGAATGTGGATCCGACCATAGTTTAGTTATAGCCAACGTGATATTTAACTATCGCAAAAACAATAACACTCAGGTACAGAATATAGAAAAAGGACAAAAAGTAACATCCCCTAAATATAACCTAGAAAGCTTAAAAGAAGATTCAAAAAAATTTCTTTACAAATTACGACTGGTCACAAAACTACAAAATGTGGATCAAGAAAATGTATCAAGTGAAGCTTTGGGTTATAAAGACAAACATAAAACAAAAAATCAAGAATGGTGGTCTAATTATAGGGGAATAACTGTTACCAGCTCAGTGGGGAGGTTGTACGGTCGAATAATAAAAGAAAGAATATAATCAGAATATAACACATAGAAGAACAAAATGGATTTCATGCAGAAACGTCGTGCACTGATGGTATATTCGTTCTGCAGCAGGTAATCGAAAAACGGAAGGCAAGGAATCTATCTACCCACCTACTGTTTGTAGATTTAGAGAAGGCATACGATACGGTACCTTTGAAAAATTTGCTTCAAACATTGACGAAAGTAGGTCTCAGTAGAGAGTATGTGAATGCTATTGCAAAAATATACAAAAATGCAACAAGTGTCGTTAAAACAGAAAACTTTATATCTGAATCATTTCCAACAACAAAGGGGCTTAAAAAAGAATGTTGTCTATCTCCGACCTTATTTAAAATATATATTCAATCATCGCTAGAGCAGTGGAGAAAACAAGTATCCGGAATGGGAATAGACATAGGCGATGGTAAATGTCTAACAACTTTATTTTTCGCAGATGATCAGGTAGTCATAGCGAATGATGAGAAAGACATGGACTACATGTTTAGAAAATTAAAGAAAGAATATGAAAAATGGGGCCTCAATATGAATATGTCAAAGACAGAGTATTTTGAAATAGGAGATGACAAAGAAGATCCAGAGTTAGAAATTAGAAACACAAAAACATGCAATAAATATAAATATCTCGGATCTCTAATATCTAAGGCAGGCACTACAAAAAGAGACATCGAAAACAGGGACGCAGCAGGGAAAAAAAGCAGTTAACATTCTGAACTCTCTACTATGGTCTAAAGATATTAGACAAAAAACAAAATTGACAATCTGTCGAACCTTGGTAGAGCCTATTATGACTTATGGGGCAGAAGTTTGGCAGATCACGAAAAAAGATAGAAAAAGAATAGAAGTAATAGAAATAGATTTTCTAATGAGAGCGTGTGGTGTATCCAAAAAAGATCATATCAGGAATGAAGATATTAGAAGGAGGACAAATACTGTATATTCAGTGTAGACAGAATTGAAACGAGACAACTAGTGTGGTATGGTTATGTGAAGTGAATGAATTAAGATAGATGGCCAAAGAAAGCTTTAAATTACATACCACAACAAAGAAGAAGAAGAGGAAGACCATCAGTTGCCTGGGAAGAAAATGTACGACACCTAATGAGAGATAGAGCGATCAAAGAAGACGAATGGATGGACAGAGAACGATGGCGGTCGAAACGCGAGAAGCGGCAGAGGCTGTAGGAACCTAGGAACCTCGCTTATATATATATATATATATATATATATATATATATATATATATACAGTGCTTTTCAGATAAAACTATCCTCCTTAAATAACTTTAGAACTTCTAAATTTTAAGAAAAACGCAAAAACACGTCAATTAATATTTGAAGGGGGAGACATTATATCATATTTAAGGTTGCTGGGAAATGCACCCTTTCACCCCTCGTATCATCCCTTATTTTTTTTTAATTACTTCCCCCTTTTTTATTCGATATTTGGATTCTCCTCTTTGTACTGATTTCAGAAATGTATAATACATGATGCTTGAAGTGATTACTTTATGAGAAAAATAGATACAAAAGCAAGAAAATTGGATTGAAAAAAAAATTATTTTTTAACAATTTTATTACACACATTTAGAATGAACATTTCACTGCTAAAAATTTTGACAATAATTGTTCAAAATGACTGCCCTTCACTTCCATACAATAGTATAATCTATTTTGAAATTCTTCTCTGACATTGCTTAACACGTCTGCATTTAAGTGTCGACATTCATCCTCTATTCTTTGTCGTATATCATCTAGAGATTCTGGTTGAGTAGCATAAATTTTTGTTTTTAAATACCCTTGATAGAAGAAGTCTAGGGGTGTTCAATCCGGTGATCTAGGTGGTTAATCGATCATCTATCGACTTTACCCTATCCAAGGACCAAGAAACGTTTCGTTTAAAAATTATCAGACAGGTAAAGCAAAGTGTGGAGAAGCTCCATCATGTTGAAATACAACCAAATCTTCGGAAAAGTTATCCTTAACCTTTGATAAAACTTTATTAAAAAGTGAATTTTTTATTTCTTGGTTTTTGAAGGTACTACAAATAGTAAGGTTAAATATTTAAAAAGTTAAAATTATGCTACAACCTATTTTGTTACAGTCATTTAAGGTGAGGGAGATACTATCCTTGTTAACAGGAAAATTGTCTATCTCATAAACTAATCACTTCAAGCCAAAGGTATTATACATTTTTGAAATCAACACAAAAAGGAGAATCCAAATATAAAATAAAAAAGCGGGGAAGTAATTTAAAAAAAAATAAAGGGTTGATACAGCGGTTGAAAGGGTGCATTTCCCAGCAACCTTACATAGGATATAATGTCTCCCCCTTCAAATATTAATTGATGTGTTCTTGCGTTTTTCCAAAAAATTAGAGGTTCAAAAGTTATTTAAGGTGGATAGTTTGATCTGAAAAGCACTGTATGTATATATACGTTCTTGATTGTTTTGTATATATTTCGCACAACCAACTCTCAAAATGGATTTTGACACATCTGTGAAAATTCTATATGGCTTACCAAATTTGGCAAGTTGTTTCTGAAGTTGAGTTATCATTGTTATCATCAAAAGTAGGAAAATAAACTTTGGTTTGAGAGTAAAGAATATTAAAATTAGATTGAAAGAAATAAGTTTTAGCGGGATCTCGAAATATGTAGAAACATTAGGAAATGCTGTAGCTAAAGTTGGAGAATTTTTGTTATGCCAACATTTGTCAACTGAGCTAAACACAGATATTTCCGATATTTTTTTGAAATAGGTAGGTTTGGTTATTATCTTGACATTTAAGGATAAACTTTTCAGCTAAAAAAGACGTCTTAAATTTAATGAAGGTTTCATA